AGAATGCTGAAATACTTGGACGAAAAATTACTGTTTCATACATTTTATCTGCTTCAAGCCCAAAGAAACGCAAGAAGAGGGCCTGGAAGTATAAACGAAGAAAATTTAAACGAACTTCAAAGACAATGAAATTGCTGACACAGCATGATGATGAAAAACTGCATTATGCATTGAAGCTCAACGGAACCTCCTCCGTTTACAGCAAGCACATATACGGCAGTATAAGAAACGTCACAAACCTGCCTGCAAATACAAACTTGGACACCAAATGCCAATCTAGCCTGAGCTGAAACTTCCACTTTGACTGAATCTTCGACTTGAACTGAAACTTGGACTTAAACTTCGTCCCAAATTTTTCGGTCCTTATGAGTCAGTTCATCCCTCTGACTGTTACGAAGTACGAAAGATACGCCATGAAGACACCATTATAATGTCAACCTGTGCTGATAAGATGAACCGGTGGTGCACAAAGCTAACATCCGCTACCTGGACATTGATTTTTTTTTCCACTTTCTCTGCTTTTTTTTTTTTCTTTCTTTTCAGATCAACCCCCAGGCGAGGAGTGTGGACATTCGATTTTACAACGTATCCACCTTTATCCTCCCTGCACCTGGCAACCGCATCAGCAGCTAGATGATTCTCGAAGCTGTGTGATAAGTTGACTTCTCCACTTCTGTGCGTGATAGATGCTGCGACGGCAACGTGGTGAACGTATCCTAAAAACTAGTACGTAGTAGCTAGAAACTTTAAAAACATTCCCATTTGGTGTGAGGATTACCACTATTGTGATGCCACCCTATGCTATGGAGCTAAATTTATATCTTACTTCTTTTCATCCTTCTATGTTTCTTTTTTTTTCATTAAAATACTAAATCTCAACATTAGTGTCATTCTTAAAGTAAAGTATAAAGACACCCACAAATATATGCAAAATCATGTTGTTATTTTGCCTAATTTTCAGTTTTACTTTGGCGTACTTCTTTTTTTTGGGGGTAAAATAATTATTTAACTCTGTGTATATCACTATACTTCGTATACAATTTTGCAATAGCCAATTTTTAAAACTGTTTGGAGTAATAAAATTATAAACAGCATGCCTTATAATATTATTATTAGACTTAAATATTACAGTTTCCAAAATTATTTATAATTAATTCGTTAAATTATAGGGCAGAAGTTTATTTTCAGTAGATTTTCAAAACTCTCCACTAAAGCGTAAACATCATCATTAAAGAGAACATGTTACAAAAAAGTTAATATTATCACTAAAGAGCACGATTGTTTTTATGAGAATTGCTAGAAGATCAGCTAAAGTGGTACTCTGCAATAAATTATTAAAAAGAATTATTATCTAGAGTTATATAATTACATAATGAAAACTTTGATATTTGATAAGCTTCTTTACTTGAAAATACGGCAAAGGTAGGTTTCAAAGATTATCAAGGTAACAACCACGTACCTAAAATTAACTTTGCAAAAAAGAAAAAAAAAAGTAATAAGTTACATGTTTTAAATAAATTTATGTAACATAAATCATAAACGTAACATTTATTTTAATTTCCAAAAAATAAATGCATTATAGATTACTTAAAATTAAAATAGCTGAAGACGAAATACAGTAGCACATAATTTTCGAATTCAGGCAGAATAATTACAGTTATGATGCATACTTGTCAATATAAGTTTTATTTGTGCGGTAAACATAATAAAACTAATTGCATTCACCAAGATTTGATGATTTAAAGATGAAACAGTATAATAGAATATTTCGAGTAGGTAGGAGACTTAAAACTTTTAATAACTATAATTTCAGCTAATTATATGCAATATGAAGATTTAATAGGTTTTAAAATTAAAAATATGAATTATGTACATGAAAAATTATAAGTATTAATTATGCAAAGTGCAAGCAAATGTGGAATATAAAACCCACAAAATTACGTATTAGATTAATGAATGTTGTTAGAAATTTTGTACTTTTAAAGATTTCTAAGATTTTCCTCATGAAGCAAGTTATTAATTAACAGAACATTTCTGCTCCCAGTGGTAGGGAAAGCCTATGACCGTGCCCCTCGAAATACATGTACATATTTTTTTCTTTAAACACCATATTAATCGAAATTTGATTTCTGTTTAGTGTCAAATGAAAGCCATGTAATAATATAATTAACACTGCGTTTGTATGAAGGTATATAGTAGTTATCGCAAAGCTAATACTTTAATTACAAGTTTCATCGGCTTTAAAGTTTTTCTAAATCAGATTTTTAGATACTGATGTAAATGCCTTTTTTCGCAGAGACTTTGTTGTTATTTCCATACGTAAAACGTACTTTTGACTTAAAACAAAGAGAAATTTACTCTTTTCAGTACAGTTTAGGAAAAAGAAAATTATTAGTTCCTGTCAGATTTAAAGATAATGTTTTTGAAAAAGAGAATAAGATTTTTTGAAGAAAAGGACTTAATTCCGGAAAACATCTCCTATAACATTTTCTTTTCATTTAACTCTTTCAGGTACAACAGTAAAATTACAATATTAAATGCCCTAAATAAAGTTACCTATAAACTGCAGGAATTTGTATGAGCCAAAAGTAATTAAGACCTTTAATTTAGAATGCAATGATTATATGATAGAAATATTATGTTACAGTCATCTATACTGTGTAATATTTTGTGCTTATAATGATACTTTAATATTCATCAGCACGTCTTCTGTATAAATTAACACTATGAGATGCAGTATATTATATTTTTCTTATATTAATGCTGTAATATGATGTGTACACACTTTTTGAATTAAAGATATTTTTTAAATAAATATGCATTTCATTAAGCAAACAAGATTTTAAATGGTACTGCAGTCTAAGAACTGACTTTCCTTATCAAGTGAAAATTAGTAATTGGACAGCCATTATGGGCACGAATATATTTGTAACTAAATGCAAGTGATGCAGCTGATCATAGGAGAAAAGTTAGAAATACTGATTATATGTGATTCGTATTTGATAGATTTATTATAAATAATTATCAAGTTTATATCAGCAGTTTGTGTAAATAAAATTTCTGTATCAGCACTTTCTGTAGACTATACATCTTAGCAGCTTATTCATTTTAGTCACACGTAATTATTATTTATGCACATTGGCTCAAATAGCACTTCTTGAATTGAAAAAAATTCTCTACTGTATGCAACTAACGGATTTCTTTTCGCGTATACCGTTCTTTTATATATTTAAAAATCTGTTTCTTCTAATTAAAATGCATTCAAAATCTTTCTTTAAAACGGAGTAATTTATTCAAAAGTTGCTAACATAAATATTCATAACAATTCGGACATTCAAATATCTGTTGAGATTTTTTTTCTGGAGAATTGGTTTCGTCATATTTTTAAAATCTTTTAAATGATAATCATCTCGAAAATTATCGTCAATATCATAAAACCGCTTGTTAACAAGGTATTTTAGTAATTTCAAATATGATATAAACATTGGCAAGATGCCACAGTCTAACAACGAATTCTACTAGATTAGAAATTTAATTATGTAACGTTTTAAAAGTGGTAAAAGTATTATAAATATCTCAAAGTTAATTAATTTAAAGCGTCAAGCTATCTTATGATTATCCTATTATTAAACAATGAATACTACTTCCAGCAACCGAAACGGCATTAAAATCAAGATCATATTTTAAGATAGCAAAGGATTCAAAGGTTCATCTTGCAGAAAATCAAGCAAAAGCCAAGGCTTAGTGTAAGTAAAACCTACAAGTGAAGCCGAAAAATAGTTTTCTAATAAACTATAAATTTGAAACTCCCATTCGAGTCGTCAAATCATGTGGGTGCAATGGCCAAATATTAAAAAAAATTCTTTTGTGAGCAAAGAAATAAGGAAAATACGATTGATGTTTGTAATATCCATTTAAACAAAAAATGTCACCCTGGCATTATGTAACATTTTTAGATGATTCCTAATTTAATATGTTTTGATCCAATAGACAACATACTGAATAGCGTAAGTTCTAACTAGAAACTGTTTTCCGAAGAAAATATTTCCTATTTTAAACACAAAACTGAAGGCATAATGGTTGGGAAATATTTTGCTGTCTTCGGAAGGGAAATTCAGTTTTTATAGTTAGCAATAAATATGAGTATGTAAATATAAAAATTCAGAATGAAGTCCTGAAACCTTCTATGAAACATCTTGAAATGCAGAAAGCATTAAAGTTCTAAGTGGATCATAAACGTAAGCATGCATTTGCTTATGGTGGTTTTTTTACTAAAATTATCAAACGGCGTTTGTGATCTATGAGAGCAAACACCACAAACACGTATTGACGGAACTGTATGAAAAATTAAAAACAAGAAAATATAATATTTCTTTAAAATTCCCATTGAATTTTGACGTAGGAATTGAAAATAATTGAACATTCCCACAAGAAAATTCTACTTTAATCCTTATTGAAAAGTATAATTGCAGCGAAAGGACATCGCGTCAAAATTAAATGTTCTGTTATTTGCATACTTATACTAATTTTATTTACATATTTACAATCATTGTGTGCTCTAAATATCCGAATTTAGGAGTGCACTTTCAGCACTTTTTGATAAAATTTTATGATTTTAAGAAACATTTTAAGCATATTTCTTTTACAATAAGCATGATTTAAAATACATAAGCAAGAGTATATATAGAAAAGAACTCAATTATTTAGCCTCAAACTCATTTCTTAACATTTAGTTAGGGACTTTTTTCAAATAAATTTCAAAATCATAAGTGTCTGAAGATAAAAGTGAGTCATTGTACATGCTTGATTTTCAAATTGTATTCATTTGCATTAGGTCAGTGAATTTTTTAAGACGTTACTATTTTCTAATTATTTTATTCAATATTTAGTTTAAAGTTACACGAGAAACTGTAAATTGTTAGAAAATTCTCAATACATATGTTTCAGAATGACAAGCACAACTTCATATGTATGAAACAGGTAGAAGGAAAAAAAACACATTTTGGTATTCTCAAAATTGTTTTATTAAATAAATCTGACGTGCAGACATATTTCTTGTTTATACATTTCCAGAACAAAACGATTACTGTATGATAATGAGCAGCAAATTATATGGGATATATTTACAGTATTTCAATGCAATACAATCTTTAGATGTTCTAAATATACCTATTTTTAACTAATGGGGATCATACAATTTTACTGTAAATGGATGAATGAAAAATCCCAGTACATGGGAGACGAAGCAAATTATGGAGAAATATCAAGAAAATATCTATTTTTGGAAACATTTAAAAACAAAATGAATTCTAAACTTAGAAGTTTTGACACAATTTCATATGAAAATATATTTTACATGTCTTTTTTTAAATTTATCTATGACCTCCAGGGAAAAAATATGCTTGGATTAGTATTTTACATAAAAATAGTTTTTAAGCAACATTAATGTAATAAATAGCTCCTTGGCAATTTAAATTTAGGTATCCACAACATAAATATTACCTTTATAGGACAATTTTTAAAAACTACTATATGATACCTGATGTTAAACTTCCATAAAATAATGAAAAATTTGCATTTGAGATTTAAAACTAAATCTAGAATCATACTTCATTTAACTGCCAATGAAACAATAATAGGCCAGAACTAATATATTTTTTTAAGTTCAAAATTTAAATAATTCATAGCTATACTCCAAATTGATAATAATAATTATGAAATATATTTTATGAAAAGCTAAAAGTATTGTCTTTAAGATGATGTATGTTTAAAAGAGGAAAACGTTTAATGAATAATATACATATTTGCTACTATAATCACAAGTCTTAATTCAATAGAAAACTATTTTCCTAATTAAAATTTTAAAATTATTCATAAAATGTCAATAAAATAACTTATTGGTTCAGACCTGCAAGCATGTCAGTTTATATATCTTGTAATATAATTAAAGTTTTTTGTATTCATTAATTAAAGATCTGTGCTAATTTCTTGCAGCTAATAAAATAAAATTAAATAATAATTTCAGTGCAATTTCATTTTTCATTTTCAATGAATTTGAAAAAGATACCTTGCAACTAAAAAATACCTTCATAAAAGTAAAATATATGCCTTTTTCTAGTTTTCATATTCCACCAGCATATTTTCAATGTATACAATATTCAGCATAAATGGGATTAAAAATTAGAAGCAAAAGGAATTTAAAATTAAATCGAAGTGAACTAAATATGCATGAATTTAATAGCATGATGATGACTAACTGCATTACATTTTTGTGGAAAATATTCTGCGGTAATCATCTCCAAAGAAAACAATGAATATATCTTTAAAGCATATTCTCTTTTTTGTTAAATAATCGGACGTTAGTTATGACCCGAATTGGGTAATAGTTGGCAAAGCTTGGCACTCGCAAGGATGACGCAATATATATGTATATAAATATACATAAAGCAGCTTATGCGTTTATATACTTATATATCACAATGGAATTATTTTGCTATACATTTCATTGTTCATTTACAAGAATATTAAATACACAGGAGTGAGCTGTTAAAATATATCTCAACGATAAAATCTGACATTACCGTAGTTTTACTTGGCATTAATAATAGATAATTTAATAAATTAACTATAATTTGAATTGTATTTTTATTTTTAAAATCAATAAAACAAAATCATTGAATTTCAGTTTTCAAAAATAAAATAATCATGCCTTGAATTGCTGATATATATTTTAATGAGTGTTTAAATGTCAGTATCTTCATAATACTAATATATTTTAGACTTTGTTAAGTTACTTAAAGCAAATATTTTGTGTTTAACAAATGAAATTGTCGAAATGTTTCGTTTTTACTGACCTTGAAATAAGAATATCTATATGCGTCTTCTCATTCATTAGTTTTCTGGTTAACACGATCGGTATTTTTAGTTTTAAATCAAATTTTTTGAAGTTCTTGAGAAACATTTTCTGAGATATATACTACAACTATTATAGTGAGAAAGAATTTTAAAATTTTACTTTTATGAAAGGTGATGTTAAGGTTTAAACTTTTAAACTATAACTATATAGTTTAAACTTTTAAATTATTAATCACCACGAGTCAAATTTCTTATCGTATGTCATAAAAGTAATGTAAAAATACGTATTCTATTGTAATATTTAGTAATTATATATTTTAATGGAATATTTTTACGAAATCATATCAATACAATATACTAAAATCTACCAATTTACAAATTTAAACCACCTGAAATAGAGATGATTTTCATTTAATATTTTTATTATTTTGTTAATATTACTTTTCAAAATAATGTAGAACACATTTATTCAGTAGAGATATATTTGTTCTCAGCAGCGAATTTGATGACATTTATAATTCCTTTTGATTAGGATTCACTCATATGGCTTGTATTGCTGTCAACACCTTCTTTATTTTGGTACTAATTTTCGGCCACGAAATGCACGCTTTGGCTGCATTTTGAATACCCGCTTCGGTACTTTTATTTATCTTCGAATGACCATAAACTGTACATTATTACAAGTTGTCCTTTACTCTCAAAGGAAGATTAATATATTAAGTTGTTTTCTTCCAGGCTGGATTCTTAGTCATATAAAAAGAAAATCAAAGAAATAACTATAAGAACCAGGACTGAAGAACTCAAAATTTGGCACGAAATGTTAGAATCTGAAAAAGAAAAAAATACACTGAATTAAAATGATCTTAATTCTGTAATGCATATTGGAAAGAAATACATATAATGTTACTGTATTAAAAATAATACAAAGATGCCCAGTTTCAAGCATGAGTCTTACGGGTATTAATGCTAACGTGGCAGAAGAAATCTATTTATAATTCGCAGACCTGCTTAGTTTTGATCATGGAGTTACTGCAACCCATATTTGCATTATATCAATAGTTGTAAACCTTTGTTTATACAATATAGCATAAAAATAGAATATACCTTTCACTGAGCATGAAAGCATATACGATACAATTATATTTTTAAGAAGCCTGTTATTGAATTGCACCTATTACTTTTGTTTTTAATGAAATGAAAGCCACTAATTATTGAGTATCTTCGTAGCATATGTGGTATCCGTTTAGGTAACCTTAATATTAACGAAAATACTAATTGAATAAAAAAATAATAATAAAGAAGTTTGGATAAGGAAATTGATCTCAGCAATATCAGTGTTTGCTTAAGACCCAGTTGTCTTCTTTCTTCTCAGTACATTACTACAATTTGTTTTCTTCTAATTACATTCATTTTATTAATAAACATGCTTTTTTATGATGCAGAAGGTAAAAGGTGTTTGTCAACGTTCACTCCTACATGCTTAGAAGAATTTGTTTACAGTACTGAAAAATGCTTCGGCTTATTTTTGATCGAGGCTACTGATCATATAATGCAAAATATTCACCGGAAAATTTGTGACCAAAACCGAGTAATTAATTTTAATTTATTTTGCAAAAAATTAAACATTTTCCGGAAATGCAGCCATTTCAATATTTTCAAAGATATGTGCTTAATTTAGGATTGTAATTTAAGCGATAAATGTCGAAAAATTATTTTTTAGAAATGTAAAACATTATTTTGAATATACTTTTCTTTTTAATAATGTAATGAAAAGTAAACTTGTAAATTCCTGATCAGAGTTACAGGTCTGTCTTCTATCTAAGGTAATGGAAAATTATTTTTATCTCAAAAAATTATAACGTTAGGTTTAAACGAATTTTTGCTGATAAGCACAGTGGCGAATTTTTAGATTACCTTAGATTTTAAATAATGGACTAATATTTTCGCTGGACCATCTGTGATACAGGAATAATGCGATATTCAAACGGATATTCTTTCCAGAGTCTGAAAGATATTCTTATATTAACTTAAATCTGAAAAGTTGATTCTTACTTTTATATTAACTTACTTGACACATATTATTTAAAAGCCGTAGAGTGACATTATAAGTAGATCCCAGTGATAAAATTTAGAACATATTTCTTAAGACATCATAAATGTACCCATGCGCTACCATACTATTACTTCTTTTATATTGTAATGAATAAACTTAAAGGTTATCATGTTATTTTAGATTAAGACAAATAAACAGAAATCCTCAATATTTTACATTCTTAATCTGGTAATTTCCAATTATGTGTTTTCAGTAATTGCATTAATATTACATAATATTTAAAAGCATATATGAAATGGAATCGTCTTTTTCCAAGGTGCTACTGGTCTCCTTTTTAAGTTTTCTGGCTTCCTTTGAACTTTCTACGTTTTTCGGAAGTTCTCGCTTTTTTCTGTAAGTTTACACATCATAGGATTTTCTAGCTTCGTATTGCTTTTTCTACTATTTGCCTTGTGTTATTTCTTCTAGCATTTATCTTTAGGACGGGATTTTACAGTTTGAATCCACATTCTGTAGAAATCTCTTTCCTCACTTTTACTGTCATCTTTCTTACATGGATTTCATGTAGGTTTTATGGATTTCCTAAATTTCAAAATTTTTCTTTTTCCTTGGTAAAATATTTGTTCCTTAGCTACTGATCTAGAATATGATAATAGACAGTTTCATATCAGTCACAAATCTTAGTACAGTTTGATCCGCACGGTTTGAAGTACCCCATTCCTCGTTCATATTCTTTGTTTTTAATGGATGTTTTTCAATAACATGTTAGTGCAATTAATTGAGACATTGAAATAATCGTTTTATTAATAATTTATAACGAACAATTCTAAGTTTTATTTTTTCAATTCGCAATAAATGCTGGTAAGTTATTAGCCGAAAATTATGGAAATAGCTCAGTTTCAATCGTAATGTTTTATTTTAGTTATAAGGTATTTCTCCCGCCGTCTAAGCATGCCTTCGTGGTGTAATGGTCAGCCCGCTCGGTGCGTATCGGAGATGTCCGAGGTTCGAGTCCCGGCGAGGGCATTGCTCCTTTTCCACGTCTCTCAGCGTCAAGAATCCTAATGATTCCATACAGTTTAGAAAAACTAAAAATAGTTAATGGATGATTCTTTGCGGCATAGTTCATTCTTTTATTGGTGTAATTAAATCCCCCCCCGAAAAGAAAACCCCTTAGCTCTAATTCTGCAGCTTGAAAGAGAAAGCTGAGTTTAATTTGTGTATGAATTCGTACAAATATGCAAATTTTATACTTATTTCCCGAAATTATATTCTAATTTTTTTTTCCTCTAATTCTCTGCACATTTTTCAAAGTGCCTTTTTTGTTAAACACTTCTTTTCATTTTCACCAGTAATAAGAAAGCCATTCACTGGATTTAGTTAGCTTTCCGACCAAAAGGTCCATTATGGGATGCCCTTGTGGATGTGATGATTATCGGATGAACTTGTGGCATGTCCCTCGGGTCTGTCCTTGGGAAACAAAGCAAATATGCAAATCCAAAAATGAAACGCTTGTGAGCCAGTCAATGATAAGATATCTAGCAGGGAAGGAATACGAGCCTTTAGCTCAAACTCTCCGAGATTAACAGAGGAAGAAATAAAGATGATAACTTGCTCAGTATTGGAAGAGAACCGTGAAGGAACAACACAAGTAGAATTCCCGAAAAGGTATCCACAGGTTATCTGTTGGCTTAATATGATATACAGGCTAGACATATTACAATATGTTAGTCAACCCATTTCCATGGATTACCTGATTTGGAAATACGGAAATAAATAAAATAGCTAATGCAATATACGCATAAAATTGTAATAATCGAATCTACAAAAAGAATACTGTCCAGCAACAGAATTACGAAATAGAGTTGACTCTTATGTTAACACTGCATTATCAATAGATTTCACTTTCTAAATTTTAATTCTTGAAGTCAAAGTTGACGTTTATGCATAAGAAAATCTAGATTTTAGAGACTTGATTTTAAAAATTTGAAAAGAAGATGATAGAAATTTGTGATCTAATACTTGCAGTAATTTTAAAACCTTTCTAAGCCTTCTGATAGAGTTTAATTCTGCTGCACAACCAAATAACATTCTAGAAAGCTCCAGATATCTGTAAACTCAGTTTAACGTTTATATGAACGTCACTAATAAAAGGAAAAAAAATAACAAAAGCTTTTGAATTATATTTCTTTACTATGTAATTGACCGATAATATTTAATAGCTTGCATTACCAGTGTATTTTTACACAGTGGAATTAAATTCACTAAAACAGCAAATACTTTATAATACTAAGATAAGTAAGATTTAGGTACCAAAAATTCAAAATCATAGTAAGATAGCAAAGTCAAAATGATTGCTACAAGGTAAGCAAAGTCAGACAAAATGACTGTTAAAGGTAAACAAACTTCTTCGAAATAAGAGTGAATTTGGGTTACAGCCGAAAACATCGCGGACGAAAACGTCGCAGAGAAAACAACGCAAGGCGAAAACGTCGTGCTACAAAACATCGTAGGAGAAAACATCGCAAAGAGAAAACATAGCAGTTCTAAAACATCGTGGTACAAAACATCGTCGTCGAAAATAAAGCGTTTCAAAAACTTCGCAGTTTGAAAACATCGTCGTCGAAAATTTCGTGGTAAAAAATAAAGTCTCTACAAATCATCGCGTGAGGATAACATCGCAGACATGCTTTTTTTCAGGCTTTAATAACTGTAAATAGATATTCCCATAATAATTTGTGAGCGCAAGATGTATAATTTTTACTTTAATATAGATAATAATAGATTAATTAATTTATAATAGATTTTATATTAATATTTAATAATGATTAATTAATTTTTACTTTAATATTTGTGAGCGCAAGAAGGATAATTTTTACTTTCACATTTTTTTATTAACTAAATTTTTTGCAGAAAAAGTAAGAAGGAAACTTAAGCATAGAAAATTAAATGCAACTTATAGATTATACTTTTTATGAAAAATTACCAGTAAAAACTTTATAAAAAATTATTTATTAATGGTCTCTGTTAGTTAACTATGCCGGTTTAAAATTCTAATAAGTTCTATAAGTTGCATTAATTTTCTATGCTTAAGTTTCCTTCTTATTTTCTCAGCAAAAATTTAGTTGTTAATATAAAATTATTATGGGAATATCTATTTACAGTTATTAAAGTCTGAAAAAAGCATGTCTGCGATGTTATCGTCACGCGATGATTTGTAGATACTTTATTTTTTACCACGATATTTTCGACGACGATGTTTTTAAACTGCGAAGTTTTTGAACCGCTTTATTTTCGACGACGATGTTTTGTACCACGATGTTTTAGAACTGCGATGTTTTCTCTTTGCGATGTTTTCTTCCACGATGTTTTGTAGCACGACGTTTTCGCCTTGCGTTGTTTTCTCTTTGACGTTTTCGTCCGCGATGTTTCTACCGCGATGTTATCGGCGGACACCGTGAATTTGTGATAAACAGTGGCTTTAACGAAAGCTTTTTTTGAAAGTTTTAGCTTTTTTTAACGAAAGCTTTTCTTGAACGTTTTAGCTTTAAATGTCATTTAATAAAGACATTAAAATTCATGTGTAATAAATTACATTTTTTTAAACTTGACTTTTTATCACATACTTTGCACGTTAATATTTCATTACACGAATAAAACGCATAATTTTATTAATTGTACATTGTTTAAAAAAGTGAATACATAAACCATAGAAGGAATTTATTACTGATAATAAATTATGAATTTTTAAACACTTTAAATGTTTTCTCAGGAAGTAGCCTTAAAAAGGTGGAACAATTACATAACGGGAAGCATATTTCACAAATGCACATCAGCGTAGCCACTGTGGGAGGGGTTTCGAAAATGGACCCAATGAGCTTCTATTGCTCTTGTGACGCTGAATTTTCGTGCATGTGAGCGTATGTTGTTTACGTTTTAACTGGCATTTGTTTCGCAGTTATATAAATTAAGGCTACTATAAAGGGGAGCTGAATTATCATCCATTTTGAAGCTAACTTGTTGGTATTCGCTATTGGATTAGCACTGATTTCTTGACATATTTGTGGATCGATTCCGACCTAATTTTCAGAAAAATGGGTGGTTGTGCTGCACCAAATTGTTCGAATCAGTCTAAAAATAACTTTAGGATGTTTCGTTTCCCTAGAAATGAAGAAAGACGAAGAAAATGGATAGTTAATTCTCGTCGAGATCAATGGATCCCGGGCCCAGGAGCGTATCTTTGTGAGGTAAGTTCAGCTTCGTATTTTTCCATAGAATGTTAGAAAAATTACTCTTCTTGGTACTTTAAAATATTTATTTTCATTTAACTGTCACTTATTGACGATCAACTGATTTTATAAGTACAAAATCAACTGCGGAATGTGTATGTGTTTGTGCAGTAAAATATCGTTGTTTCATGTTGTTTCTTTTGTTATCGTGAAAAGTTTATACCGTTTGTAAAATTTGTATCATACATTTCATGTAAACTTTGTGCTCAGTTAGAAATGTGATGTGCCTTTTTCTTTCTTTAATTTTACTGTACGATTGGTGATTTAAAGTAGCATTCTATGTTTTGATTCTGATGTATTGTCGCCAAATCGGATAGTTGGCGCCAATGTTAAAAACTGGATGGTATGATCCAAATAATAAATGATTTTGTTTTTTCTTTATAGTAAGATAAATATATTCTGTATTTTTAGACATTTTTAAGAAGTTAAATATTAATTTAAATATTCGATGAATCGTTTTGATCCCATTATTATCCTTTATTGTAGTAGCAAATCTTAATGTTGTATTTTTAACTATAGGTACTTTAAATTTATTTTTAGTGTGTGAGCAGGAAATATGTTTTAAGTAGTTTTACAAACATGATTACTTTTTAAAAATTTTGTTCTATTTTCATAAAAAAATTTTAATTTATCAGAAAATTACATTCTTAAATTATTATAATATATGTAACTGTAATTTAATACTAGTGCTTTTGATTTTAATGTTAAATTTCATGCATGCTTTTGTTAAATATGCAGGTACATTTTGAAGAAAAAATCAATTTGAATGCTCTAGGCAAGATGGGCATAAAAAACTCAAGCCCAATGCTGTGCCAACTCTTTTCAATGTGCCTAATCCCCCACAACTGTTGACCCCACAGCGTCTAAAAGGCATTGGTTTACCAAAGCACCGTTAAGTTACATCCAATTTTTGTAATGTATGTGTTTTTTTTTATTTTTATGGTTTTTCATAAAAAAAAATATGTTTTTATTACAAATGGACTAAATTGCTTTATAAAAGAATCAAAATATTGAAATTAAGGCATTATGTGATAAAGCTGTAATTACAGTCCCTAAGATTAGATTAAAAAATTAAAATTTTGCTGTTGTTATATATATAATTAAGTATGTACTTTGTTATTATAATCATATATTGAAAATTAAGCATAAAACCTCAATTTGATGTAGTTTTTGGATAAAGTTTTTGTAGTTTTTCGAGGACGGTCATACATGGGTCTGGTTTCTTCAAATTTGCTCCTAAAAGAAAGAAACCGGTATCTGATTGCCTTCAAAGTCAAAAAGAGTTTAAATCAAAATTTGTATTAAAATAAAGTTGCTTTTTTGCTTAATTTTAAATTCCAGATAAATAGAGAGAAATATGTATGGAGTAAGTAAAGAAATAATATTGAAATTAATAATTTTAATCTTGAGTAATACAATAATATAGTTTATAATACATTGATTTAAATGTATATTTTAATGTCTTATATGTCTTGTCTGAATGTTGTTATTTTTTGTTTAAAGATTTACAAAACTTATTAGGATTATTTATATTATTTATTATTAAAATTACATTAAGTATATTTTATTTATCAGCATTTTCAGGTATCCTTACTTATATGTGTTTCATAATTTTTGCATCTTCAGGGTGGCTTGCTGCACGGTTTACCTTTATCAACTGAAGCGATTTCTGTTGCTGAACCATCTGTTGTAAGTCTTCATTTGAACAGTTATTAAATATTTAGTATTATAAACTTTTTCTAAAAAGTATTAACACTGTTTCTAAAATTAAAAAATATATTAACGTAATATTTACTTATGTTTAAGAAGTATGAATGCTATGAACAGTCCAATGTATTTATGCTTTTTTATAAGTTGAGTTACTTTGAAAATGGTAATGATTATTTGTATTTATTTTTATCCGATCAGAGTTTATAATTTCTTTCACTTCCACATATTTCATATATTATAATTTCTTTTAGGTTCATTTGCCACAACCTTCAGCTTCATATTTTGGAGAAATAAATTTTGCTGCCGAAGTATCTGATGTAAATTGCCATTTTGCACTTCTAAAAAATTTTAATAGTTTTTTAACATCTATTCGTAAACTGTACTATGTTTTTTTAAATGTTTCCATCTTCATAATCATGCACTTTATTTCATTTCACCAGTGGTTGCAAATGTGTACATTACAGTACATCTCAGGTGTGTTTGCAACAACATTTAGCATTACCTTCTGATTAAATAACAGCTGCTAGTAAAGAATCTATTCTATGTTTTCATTTGAGCAGCTATTAAATGTCATATGTTTTACATATATTAATGAATTTTTATACGATTTCTGAAATATGAAATTGTTTGTCTTATGGTTGCTAAACAGCTGTACTATATCTGGCTGTTGTGCTATGGAATTATTTTTGAATTTTGAGTGTTAACAATTTATTATCTATTTATGAATTATAAAATGTTATGTAAAATAATTATTTCTTAAAATGAATGTAGTTTATATTATCTGTATTTCTAAATTTCTTATATATATATTTCAGGTTTGTTTGCAAGAACAAGCTTCAACTTCATCTTGTGATAAAATGCCATCTATTTGTGAAGGATCTCATGTAAGTAGATAATTAGTGTATTATTAAATTGCTTGCTTATACAAAACGTTTCTATTAACTTTTTTTGGGGGGGGGTAAAAGGAATGTAATTAATTTCATCAGCATTTACAAATTCTTTGTGTACATTTCAGGTTTGTTTGCAAGAACAGCCTTTAGCCTCATTTTGCAATGAAATACCATCTATTTGTGAAGGCTCTGATGTAAGTTGATAACTAATGTATAAATTAAATTACTTCCTTATATGCATTTAAAATGTTCTATAAAGTAATTTTTTTGGTAAAAGGAATGTAATTAATTTCATCAATAGTTGCAAATTCTCTATGTAAATTTCAGTTTTGTTTGCAAAAACAACCTTTAGATTCATCTTGCAACCAAATTGTAATCAATTTTAATTAATTTCATCAGCATTTGTGAAGGCTGTGATATAAGTTGATAATTTGTGTTATTAAATTGCTCATGATTATGGAGATAATCGATCCCTTGAAAAGCTGGAAATAAATTTTAAAAAATCTATTTTTAAGTGAAATAAATTTTAAATATTAGAAAATAAAACAAAAATAATCTAGAAAATGCTGAAAACAATAGAGTCAAATTTAAAAACCCACCACAGTATAGGAAAAGAGACCTGGAACTTGCATTTTTATTTTGTGGATTTATTATCTGTTTAAGTTTGACATTTAATCCAAAGGGGCTTTGTCCCTGAAGGACTATTGTTTTCGTTTTGTATTGAAACACTATAAACGGCTGCATCACTTTTCAAATTGTTGCCACCAAATATTATCACCCTGTACTATATTTAAAGAAATTATATAGTGAAGACTCATAAATGCATGTATGTTTTTTGCATTCTGATAAAAACAACGGTACCTAGAGCCATCAAATTTTGAATGACTTAATTCTACTGTGAATATGGACATCTGGAAGACCGAATTTGAAATTCGGAATTTGTTTTAATATATATTTATATGTTGTAAAACTTTAACGAATTTTTGATTAACAAACTTGAGGATTTCAAAGCGAGCAATGGCAATGTTGTACAGAAAAGACACTTTTATCTCCAGCGTGTGAGACAATGAATCGGGAATTCTGAAGATATGTTCATTTTAAAATTATCTTGCAATATTGCTGTTGAACTGAATTTTATAGTTTAAGTGTGAAAAACTTGATATTTAATAAATAAAGGTAAAACACAAAATGTTAAAAAAAGGCCCCTTTGGGTGTAATTTAAAATCTGAAACCTTTCAGATCTTTTTTGTTTGTTTGTTGTGTTCCCCCCCCTTCTTTGATGATTATTCATATAGATTTTTTCTTTATTCCAGGATGTTCTTTTAAGGAATTTTATAAAACAGCAGACTGAATTGATCTCGCTTCTGCAATGCCAGAACAAAATATTACTGAAAGAACTTACAGCAACCAAAAAAAAATGAAATTAATGTTTTAAAAAAAATGGCATAGCACTGAAATTCAACTTCATGACCTTCAAGTACAGCATGAGGAATTGCTGAAAGGAGTGAAAACATTTCTTTCAGATGAACAAATAGCAATGTTGAAAATTCCTCGTAGAAGCATTGCAAAATGGTCTAACGAGGGAATAATAAAAGGCCTCAAAGTTAGATTTGCCTTGGGCAAGCATGGTTATAATTACTTGCACAGAATAGGTTTTCCGTGCCTTCATACAGCACTTTAAATAAAAGACTTCAAGGTCTTGAAATGAATTTTGGAGTCATCAGTGAGATGATTGAACCTTTGAAAATTAAAGGAGAAAAAATGAATGCTAGTGATAAAGACTGTATTTTATCATTGGATGAAATGGAGATTTCTGGCAATCCTGATTTTGATATTTCAAAACGTAAATTTATTGGTAAATGTACATTAGGAAATCAAAAGGGTACAGGAAATCACTATTTAGTTATTTTACTAAGAGGTTTGAAGCTGAAATGGAAGCAAGTGGTTGCCCATGAGATAACTGGACAGGTAACAGGATGCCAGCTCAAACAACTTGTTGTCAATGTTATCGAAGCTGTCAATTCTGTTGGATTTAATGTTGCTGGTATTGTTAGCGATATGGCAGCAGTAGTAAATAGAAGCCTGTGGAATTCTTTGGGAATATCTGTTTCTCGAAACCAAAGAAATAATTTCACTACTGAAATTAAGGGCAAAATTATTTATGTATTTGCAGATGTGCCACATCTTTTAAAAAATCTCTGGTCTGCAACTCTTAATCATAGTATAAAACTGCCCAGTTATGTTTGCAATAAAGAAAATTTGGTTACTTTGCATGTATCTGCAGGATTTATAAAAGATATCTGGATTACTGAAACAAACCAAAATTGTGGTTTGAGAACTATGCATCATCTCAGCAAAGAAGACCTCTTCCCCTCACATTTTGATAAAATGAATGTTGCTTCTGCTGTGAGGTTTTTTTCCAATTAAAACAGCTGTGGGATTGGAGAAGGCAGTAGCTTTAAAAGAGATAAGCCCTAATGCTCTTACAACAGCATGGTGGATAAGATTTATATGTCAGTGGTTTCAAATGCTATCCTCTAGATGTAGAAAGAACTCAATTTCTGTGACAAATAAAAGCAAAAAAAATTGAGTTACTTTTTGAATTTATTAATGTTATACAGCTTATAGAAATTGGTAAAGGGTGGAAACCATTACATACTGGTTTGATTCTTTCTACTTTATCAGCCATACAGTTAGCAGAGGCATGTTTTCTGAATGATTTTCAGTTTATTTTGACGAGCAGATTGACACAAGATGCTCTAGAAAATGTATTTTCTCAGATACGCAGAAAAGCTGGTTTGAGGCCAAGTGCTTTGCAAGCTGTGAAAGCATTAAAGCTTATCTGTTTATCTCAGTTTATATCTGACATTAAGAACTCCAGTTATGCTACTGATTCAGATATTTACTTATTAAACTATGCGAAAGATGAATTTGAATTTCTGAAGGAGAAAAAAGCTTTAGAGCCTGTTACCATACCAGAAGTTTCTGATGTATCTCTACAGAATCTCACCCTTAGTGAGGAAAATAACGTCTGTTATATTGCAGGAGCTGCAATAAATTCTGTTTTGAAAAATGCTTGTAATTCATGCTCACAGTTTTCTCTTAGTTTGTGAGCAAAATACTCCTTCCATTGATGAAAATAAGCAGTACATAATTAATTTTGCAAATTTAGGTGGGCTTAAATGTCCTTCTCCAGAAATTTTTAAATTGTGCCTTCTGTGTGAAAAAATAATTCAAAATTTTTTAGACGAAATAATACATGGAAATGTAACTATGGATGTGGAATTTGTTAATATGATTTGTAAGAAAGCAGGCGAGGTAAATATTCCCTCTTGTTGCAATATCAAAACAAAGATAATAAAATATTATTTGACTGCCCGTGGAATTGGTCTCAAGAAGCTTCTTCAAAATAAAAGGCAGCAGTGGCAAAGTTTTGCATCTCCTGCTTTTAAAAGGAAGAAAGTAAACTAGAATCTAATCAAGAGTTTAAGAAGTTTTTGCTGTTCAGTTCTGTCTGTAAAAAAGTAGAGTAGTTGTCACTGAAAAATTGCTGTTTGTCTCTTCGAATAATAATTAGGCCCACCAACAGCTGAATGGTTAAAGTTACTGAATGCTGGGAGTTCCATCTTCTGTTCTATTTCCGAACAGGCTGCCTGCATGGTTGGTTTTTTTTTTTGTGGTTTTTCCCCATGTGTAATGTGAATACAAGCCAGTTCTCCTTAGAAAGTCCTCTACAATAGAAGATCTCATAGTCAGCTAAATCGGATTTACTTTTGTGTGACCTTAAATGAGGCATCAATTGTGAATCTGTTTTGGCATGTTATTAGGAATTTTAAATGAAACATTTATTGCTGTTGTGAAAGAATGATCAACTGATGTTTACCTTACTAATTAATGTCTTATAGTATTGTAATGGCTTGCAGGATTTTTCATAATGGGATGTTGCATATGTTTTACTCTTCTTTTTTACCAAATAAATAGAGTATGTTCCTAATCAGACATTTCTTCTTTTGTACCAGGGTTATATAGTATGATGTGATAATTTGGATTTGTTTATAGAATACATAACAGTATTTTTTGACATTCTAATAGAACCAGTGTATTTTATTTATTTACTTATTGCTTTAAAACAGATTTTGAATCAAGGCTTACTTCCCACCCCCTTTGGGTATGCACATAAAACATGTTTAAGCTATATTTATAATATATCAATGAGATACAGTGGATGGACAAAAATATGGAAACACCTTGTGAAATGCATGTTTGAAAAGAAAGATTGATTTTAATGAAATGTAGGTGGCGCTGGCGTTTTTGACTACTGACGCCACCTATACAACTTCGTAAATGTGCTAAACAGTTCAGTTGTTGTCGGAGTACTGTTATGTGAGGTTGTCATTGCATTATGTCAGAGTTAACAGACTTCGAACGTGGGCAAATTGTTGGAGCACGTATGGTAGATGCTTCCGTAAGCAAGGTAGCCGAGGTGTTTAGTGTTTCAAGAGGTACTGTATCGAAGATTTATTCCGTATATTTGAAAAGCGGAAAAACATCATCTGCTAAATCACAGGGCGGACGAAGGTGTGTCCTGAGTGATCGTGACAGACGATCATTAAGAGCAATTGTGACGAAAAATAAGAAGACCACAGCTGCAAAAGTTACTGCTGAAATGAATGTTGTGTTACCGAACCCTGTGAGTACCAAAACAATTAGAAGGGAGCTTCATAAACAGGGAATTGCTGGCCGTGCTGCAATTGAGAAGCCACTCATCAGTGACGCTAATGCCCGTTACAGGAAAAGGTGGTGTTTAAATCATAAAGCCTGGACTATAGAGCAGTGGAAGCGAGTAATATGGTCTGACGAGTCTTCTTTCACATTGTTTCCCACTTCTAGCCGAGTTTACGTCTGGAGAACGCCATCTCAAGCCTATAATACAGACTGTTTGTTGCCAAGAGTGAAACATGGCGGGGGTTCTGTTCTGGTTTGGGCAGCCATATCGTGGTTCTCTGCTAGCCCCAAATGAACTGTGTCAGGGACATGGTTTTTTGCATTTATTCAAACATCTCCGCATATAAATGAGAATTAATTATATTATATTAGTTTTAAAAGTAAAACTAATATAATATCATTCTATATAAAGCTGTTTGATGTATAATGGAAAAAATTCAATTACTGCAGTATGTTTTAATAAAATTTGAATATAATAGACTGAATTGCACTACATTAGACCAAAAAGCAAAACATTTTTATTTATTTATCTTTATTTTCACTATATGTGTTTGTCATATGTTTGTTACTAGAGGACTTATTTTATAGATTTGAAGCTAAATAATATTTTTATGTTTTTACTTATGCAAATTAATTAATAAAAGAACTGTGATTTAAGTATTGTCTTTGCTGTGATATAGATTGAATCTTATTATGTTATGGAATTATCATTTAAATATTCAGATACGTGTAATATTAAGAGCATATGTATGTAAGTATAATTTTTCCAAGTATAATAAAAAGTAACCATCAACAACAAATAAACTTATAAGTAAATAGTATCTGTAAATTCTGTATGTAAAGGTATTATTTTTATTTTTATTTATTTGTGTGTGTATTATTTTAATATTGTTTATAGCTAAATAAAGAAAAAAAAAAAATTAATGGAATTTTTTACTCTATTAAATCTATGAATCCCACAGTCATCTGAGCATTGAAGTAATTTTTATAGCATTCTGCACTTCATTCTAAAAGCGTTATAATTTAAAGGTGTATATCTTGAATCAGTATTTAAAATCATAAAGTGTTTAGCAGCTTTTTCTGGAAACACACACAAAATAACATTTTTAACAAATTTGCTACAGTAATAGACGCTTGATTCCATGTGAGCAAAATTCAAATAACATATTAAAAATAAAAAACAAAAATTAAAGATTAAACCTTATCCTAAATTAATGGAGGTTGAGGGATTTCCCTCAACCATATTAAGAATGTGGTTGAGGGAAAGCTCTTGTCAAAAAATACATTTTGAGATAAATAACATTATGCGTGTATTTAAAAGAAAAAATTGAAAATTCAATAAAGGAATTCAAAAAGAAAGCATAAAAATACAAATTTGGCAAATTGTATTAATACTAAAAATACAAATTTGAAATATGATATGTGAAAATGTTTTAGAAACTTTTAAAATAACTTGAATCATACGAGAAATTTGGCAATTTAAAAAAAAAATACGAGAAAGAATCTGTACTGCAGACAAAAGAAGGGGAAAAAGCCACACATCTTTATAGGAGTGCAGAAAAAAGCTGAAATTCGGATTCTCTAGAATGTTAAATTTTAGCGGACAGCGCTAAAGAGCCAAAGTTGCCGCTCCACACCTAAATTGCAACCCTAAAGCTTAGATTCAAAATGGCTGACGAGTCAGCCTGTATCT